ACCGTCTCTCCCGTGGAGTGTCACGGCCACCACCTAGCCAGCCCTCGGCCGCTGCCCTCGCCCAGCTTCCAGGCCCTTCTCGCAGCAGCCGTGAGGGTGGTCCTACTGGAACCAGAGTCAGATCGCGGCACTTCTCTGTTCAGAAGCCTCCGGGTCCCCCCGTCACATTCACAAGTAGAAGCCTGCGTCATCGAAACAGCCTCTGGGGCCCTGGCCGACCTGCCCTGTTCCCTCCCTCCCCTCCTCCTCCTGTCTCCAGCCACACAGGCCCCTCACTGTTCCTCCACTGCACCAGGCCCGGTGCCGCCCCAGAACCTTTGCACAGGCTGTTCCCTCACTAGAATGCTTCCCCATGGCACCTTCTCTCAGCTCCCTCATGACTTGAGTCATTGGTCGTTTGAAACGGCTTCCCTCGGGGTACCTCCTCAGCGCAAAAGAGAGAGAGAGTGTAACTGACCGTTCTTTGGGGGGCTGCTAGTGGGGTCCGTTCTCTCTGGGGTTACGTCGACTTGGGAAGAACTTGTTGTCGAGATACCGATGCGTCATTGATGTCAACGTCCACATACCAACCCAAGTAAAAGGTCCACTTCCAACGTCAACGACACGGGGCCGGGGGCAGTGACGAGGTGAAGCGAGCATCCTTCCCGACACTTCCTCATCCCTGTGAGCCAGTCCTGTGTCCTCACACACGTGAGCCGGTGCCCCGTCCTGCCCACCCCCCAGAGTCTGGCCTCACCCCCTCTCCGGCCCCAGAGGACCCCTCAGACGCGGCACCGTGTGCCCCCCGCCCCCCTGCCCGGGGTGGCAGAGAGACAAGTCTTCGGCCTCCTCGCCCTCGGCTTCCCGCACACAGCGGGGCCCCCCTCTGTGCCTCCGTGTTTCTTGAGGCATCGTCAGGATCCTGGGGTGCAGATGTGGACGGAGCCGCTTCCGTCTCTACCTGCCCGGGGTTCTCAGTCCCGCGGGGCAGACGCGCATTAGATAAAGTGTGCCTGCCAGCTCCAGAGGGGGAACGTCTTCTGAAGACAAGCTCAGGGTTCAAAGGACCCCCTCAAACGCCAGCCCCTCATCACCTGGCTCCGCGTCCAGAGCCCCGGCGGCAGGGGTGCTCAGGGCGGGGAGGAGGGTGCACCCTGGGGTCAGAGGGCACTGCCACGCTGGCGAACCACTCACTGACTTTGCAGCTAAGCCTTCGGCCCGTGGCACCAAGGGGAGAGGGGTCGGGGCGAGGGGGGACCAAGGAGGCGGCTCCGCTGGGACCTGACTTTCTGTGGGGCCGGCTCCCGCCCTTCTGACCCGAGGCTGAGCTCTGGGGGGGGCAGCGACTTGCTGTGGATTCGCTCAGCCTGCCTTTTGGCCTGGGCGCAAAACCTCGCACGTAAGCCTTTTCGGTATTGCGTCCCGTTTGCATTTGCAATCTCTCAGTCAGGGACGCGAGGATATATCAGTCCGTCTGTCCGTCGTCCCGTGTCTTGTTTTGTTTTTGTTTTCTCAGAAAGAAAGAAAGAAAAAAAGCTTTACTAAGAGAAAATACACAACAAATTCCAGAGTGCCTGGTCTTCAGGCCACTCCATTCCCCCCCTTCCCCCCCCACCCCGGCAATAGGAACACGGACCATTCTGTCCGCACACATCCCCTACCTTGGGGAGGAAGTGTAGCCACTGACATCTGGCCTGAGAGCTCTAAGGAAAGGGTCAGGGCAGGAGATGCCGTGGGCCCCGCCCTTGGGGAGGGCCCTGGCTTGGAGCAGACTCGCGGCCAGCGAAGTCACTTCAGTGGCTGCGGTGAGGTACCTTCTGTGGGGGCTTCACAGCCCAATTAAGAAAAGGGGCAGGAGGAAGGAGTGTCTGGGAAATCACCCCCTCCTTCTTGGCCTGTTCTAGCACAATCTGACTGCCCCAGGATGCAGAAGTCCTGGTTGGGGGCAAAGAAATAGCAGCCCAAGCAATAAGGCAAGAATTCAACTAGGACTTTTATATTCAGTGACCAGCGGATGAGACAGGTGGCCAAGCCCCAGCCACCTTCACCCTTAGATTAATGATTTGTCCCTCAAGGGCAAGGTGCCAAGAGGTGGACAAGCCATAAAGGCCGAGGTTGCCCTGTTTAACACCGGGTGCAGTGCTGATGGGTCCGTCAAGCCCTTTTTAATCCTCTTTGTCCTGACATTCCTGAAAGTATAGGAGACACTTGGTGTCCAAATGACTATGAAGACCCAACCCAAAAGGTCTCAGTCACACGCAGGCTTTTAAAAATCAAATCAAGGAATCTGAAAACCAGGCTGGAAATTGAAGGAACAAATACAGGCGTGGAGAGAAGCTATTAATTCCTGTGCCCAGAATCTCTTGAACCCAAATCAGTGACTGGGGATGTGAATTTCTTCACCACATCAATGGGGAGAACATATGTGATTCTCTTAATGAGTCCATGTTAGCATTTGGGGGGATCCTGACGAACATGAGCGTGTCTTTCTTTATCCAGCTCCAGTGGCTGTTAGATAATTACGAAACCGCGGAAGGCGTGAGTCTCCCCAGAAGCTCTCTCTACAACCATTACCTCCGGCACTGCCAGGAGCACAAGCTGGACCCTGTGAATGCTGCCTCTTTCGGGAAGCTGATCCGCTCGGTTTTCATGGGGCTGCGGACACGGCGGCTGGGCACCAGGTGGGTGCACGCACGGGGGTGCCTGGGGGTCCCACGCCTGCCCATCCTCTGCATCCCCTGTACAGATATTGAGCTTTGGGAGAACGTGGGCTCCCTCCTGCCCGTGTGTCCTGACCTGTGTGCCCCTGGGTGAACTTGGATTTGTTCTGAATTGGCGGCACGGGACTGGCCGGCCCAAGGTGTTGGCAGTGGGCCATCTCTCTCCCGGTGACACAGGCTTTGCTCCAGCACTCTCTCATCGTTTAACAATTTCCACAATAACAGGCTTTCTTAAAAAGCAGCCCCTGGATGATCTAGTAGGAGTTGGATTTATCATCTCTTGGTGCTTTCTGCCATGCCTGGACCCATCCCCCAGGGCCTGCCCTTGGCCTGCAGCAGCCAGGGACCGTCATGCGCCATAAACTTTTCCCAGGCACGAATCCAACACTCCCCCCACTAGAAAACAAAAAGTGGGTGGCCCAGAGCACACAGAAGGCTGTTTCCTGCATGGCCGCTGTCTGTGAGGTCATTCATGGGGTCGGGGTCAGGCGTACACCCTCCGAAGCTGGTGTCTGGCCAAGAGAAGGTTCTCGGCCATCCTCTGATCCATAACAGAACATCCTTACGCAACATCGCTGGACGGAGGAGGGTAGGAAGGGGGAGAAGGAGAGCGAGCCCCTGGTCTCTGGGGACACAGCCTCCACTGTCTCTGGGTCCTCTCCAGAAGGCTCGTGCCCGGCCTCCACCGTCAGAGCGTCCCGGATGCTTGGCCTCGGGCCAGGACCGGGGCTTTTCTCCCCACTGCTTTCCCTCCCCTGCCACCAGCTAAGCTCTTCCCTCTTCTAGAAAGGACCCGCGCTCCTCCTGCTTGTCCCCGTTGCCAGACACCTGTCTGTCCTTCGGTGCTTCTCTCCTACAGAGCCCCTCTGACCTGTTTTCTTAACCAGAATGTCTAAAGCCCTCGGGTCATCCTGTCTCCCATAATAAGCCATGACAGTGTTTCCCACAAAGGTGCCATTTTCCAAATCATGTTGTTAGATGATGTGGGGCGGGGATGGGGGTGATGATGACGGTGGTGGTGGTGATGATGGGGATGATGGGGGTGACGGTGATAACGAAGGCGGTGTCGATGATGTTGATAATGATGGTGGTGACGGTGGTGACGGTGAGGATGGTCGGGAGGCCATGCTGGGTCACACAACGCCGGACTGCGTTTCCCATTGCGAGACTTCTCAGAGCTATTATGATGCTTAAGCGCAAGAAGGCAATCTCCAAGAGAGGGGCGAGTATAGGGTTTCCTAAACCCCTCGCATTGTGGAATAGCCTGTGAACATTTCCCCTATGGTCCAGGGGACACTGAACCCCAGAACCCGAAACAAAGGGCCAAGACCCGGCACCTGTCTTGTCGTTCAGGACATCTGCAAAGAGAGCTGACCCTGAGATGCTTGGTTTCTAGGGGCAACTCCAAGTATCATTACTATGGGATCCGTCTAAAGCCGGACTCGCCCCTGAACCGGCTGCAGGAGGACACCCAGTACATGGCCATGCGGCAGCAGCCCCTGCACCAAAAGCCCAGGTGAGTGACCTGGCCCAAAGCCA